TAATTTTAGAGTCATAACAAATAATGCCAGATTAAAAATAAAATCCTTTAATTCCTTAGAAATTACTCAGAACTGTCATATAATGAATTGAAATTAGCAATGTCTGATGATTATGTTAAAATCAATATGTATATCTACATTTTTAAGATTTCTTTCTGAAAAACCACTTATAGTGGTGTGGTTGCTTATCAAATTAAAATTAACAGTTGATTTACCCAATTGAAAGATTAATGGAGAATGGTAATTACCAAATTAATACATTTTAATTTAAAAAAAAAACAAGATAAGGAATTTATTTATATAATTTAAGTTTTTGAATATTAATCATACCTCAAGAAAGTTGATCAGAAGAATTTTTTTATTCCGTAGTTTTAACAAATTGTCATTTCTAGGAAATTTTCACGCAATGGATTAAATGATCTGACACAAAATAATTAAAAAAAAAATTTTTAGACAAAGGTAATCTAGTTTGTTTCAAAAGGGATAGATGTCTTTAAAATTTTTCTTGATGTAATGAATATGCATACACCTGGGTTTTCCCTTCACAGTAATATGATTGGCTGGTGTCAGCCATAAATATAGACTGATGTGGAGGTACAGGGACTATGCCCATTGTCTTTGCCTATTGCCTACCACTATGATGAGGACCAGTCCATTACAGTTTCCTGCTAGATTGTCCTACTCGATCACAGTAGTCCAAAACCACTTAAAAACTTTGAAGAAATATATCCCTTTCTGGGACATATCACATTCAAAAGTAGATGAACAGAGTTTGAAATATTTAACTTTCTTAGATTGTTCAATGAAAATTCTTTGAAATACTGCATACTTTGTTAAAAATGATAATATAATTGGTGAGTAATTTGAAACTGGCAAAACATTCAACACTGGATGCAGTGAACAGAAACAAAACCTTTCACATAACTTCAGATACTCTTCACTTGTTACTTTAATGTTTCTCCTCTTTTTATTTCTAAAAGAATTTTGTAAAGGCTCACGACTTTCTTTTCTTTTCTTTCTTTTTCAATTCAAAAGCAATTTCACATAGGCTTGCAAATTTATTTCTTTTTTTACTCAGCTCACTGATCAATTTCTGTAAAGGCAGGGTTTGCATTGGTCAAAAGAAAATTAGGCTTGCAAATTCCTTTCTGTCTTTTTCTTCAGTCCTCCAAATTTAAAGAGAGGACTGAGGTAAAGGGAGTTATTATTATTTTGTACTCACTATATCACTTCCCTTCCCAGATTTGATAGAGTCCTTTAGTACATTAATAGTAGTGATATGTATTGTCTCTTTTTCAATTAACTAATCTTGTTATGTTTTTCTGTCTCGTCTCTATAGTCCAATTGATATTTGGTGAGGTATCTCTTAACTACCTTATATGGACCTGTGTATGATGCATCCAGGGATTTTCAAACTGTCAGTCCTAAACCATACAAATTTACAGTTGTTTAGGTCCTTTAGGATATAGAGTTTTGGCAATGAATGTAAATTTCCAGTGGACGGATTCTCCATGTCAAATTTATACATTTCACACAGACAGGTCTCCTGTTGTCTGGTTTGATGCTTTATTGTTACTCTTGTCACATGGGTCAATTGATGTCTCGGAATTTGCACATTACACCCTGTCACTGCTGTATATAATGGGCTAGTTGATTTGTTGGGTGTAATTCTGATACCTAAGAGTAGAATAGTTAGAGTTGATGTCCATGATTATTTCCTTGCAATTATCACTGTTTTTACGAATTGATCAGCAATCCTATGTACATGTTCAATCAATCCATTTATCTGTTGTTCTTAGTCTATGAATGCTTATAACCTTTGATAGCTCTGAAAACAGCCTTGACTCAAACTGACTACCTCTATCGGTGTTATGTAAGGGTACTCCAAATCTGGATACCCATATGTTAATGAAAGTAGTAGAGACATTCTGTGCAGATATTTCAGTTAGTGGAGGTGCCTCTATCCATCTCGTAGCTCTGTCAGTCATGGTTAATAGATATGACAAAAAATAGTTTTTTTTTTACTGGTGACCAATGACCATATGCAGTGTCTGAAAGTGATTAGAAGGTTGTTCAAAAGGTTGTACATTGCTCTTAGTATGTTCAATAATTTTTGCTTGGTGAAGAAGTAAGTAGTTTCCTATGGAAGAAGTAAGAAGCAAACAAAGAAAGAAATAGTAAAAATGCAGAAGCTAAAAGAACCCAGAAAAGTGAAAAATTTCTGTAATTAATAACTGAATTGTGTTTAAAAAAAAGGAACAAATTTGTTAAAGTCCCAGTGACTCTGGTGAATCTGCCAACCTTCTCAGTTTTGATTTTCAAATTAGTAAATTGAAAGAATTTGTATTATCAAAGCCTTCTTTTTTTTAAAGTAATTGTACCTTCTCAAAAGATTTTTCAATTGTTAAAACTTTTGTTGTAAAAATTTATATCTGCCTTTATGAGTCATATATAATTCTTTGAACTGGTTATCTTGCAGTATCTGTCTATATTTCTGAGATGAGGTATTATGTACACTGTTTACATTGTTCAAACTGTCATCCTCATCTTTGTTGCCATATTTATCACAATGGTTCGGCCATTGTATGCTCCGGCCTTCTTCAGGTGGTTGGAATGTTGAACTGAGCTCTTTATTTCGCTCGCTGGGGCAGACTGTTCTAGAAAAAGGCTGACTTTGAGCACAACCATTATAACCATGCTTAAACCTCCACTGATGGAATTAGTACAACTTTTCTTTGGTCGTTTTAGCTCAGCACAAGGCTGACTTGAGTTCAACCATTATAACAATGCTTATCTTTACTTACTCTATCTTCTGAACAAGAAAAAGAAAATAAACATACCAAACTTTGTTTCCCTACAGTTTCCACTATAAAAAAAAAAAACAGAATAAACAGGCTGTAGTATAAACCCAAGTTTTTGTATGCTTCTATAATTTTTTAGATGTGAACATGCACACACCATAAAATATACCAACACACAACCTCTTAAATTCCATAACAGCTTCCTTTATTTTATTATATATGAATTGCCATGACTTCTTGCAAAAAAGTGGACTAATTTCTCTTTGCGATGGTTTTCGATTAAGAATATTTCTTCTCCTAGACTGGCTACTATTCAAGGTTAGAAAGCCCAGTCTAATACTATTTAACCCATAGCTGGGGGGGAAGTGTCATGCCTTTCCAAAAGACATTCATGCAAAAGTGAGCAGACCAGACTAAACTAGAAATTAAATACAGCTTGACAATTACCTGAGTAATTTCTTTTCATCAGAAATTTGTTTCTTAGTATTTTATATGTCTATCTTTTCAAAATGGACATTTTCATTACTTCAAACATTATCACAGTTTGAAATAGACGCCCCCCCATATATATATATATATATATATATATATATATATATATATACACACACACACACACACACACACACACACACACACACACTTTAATGAATTAAAATGGGGCGTCTGTTTCAAATATGGAGTATCCATTATAATAACATTTGAAATAATAAATATATTTCTAACATTATTTAATGTTTGTGATTGACACTTTTGTGCTAATTACTTAATCCTGACAAAGAATCTATAGGTTTTAATATGTCACATCGTTTTCAATTTCACCCTTGAAAGTTTATTGATATCATTACAAAAGCCTTAAGATAATTTGCAAAAATTAATATTCCAATACAAGGATTACTGAAAAGAGTTATCTCCCTTACATTCGACTAGCCATTCTTTAATTTTATGATATATTCATTTTCTACCTTTTATACAGAATCCTCATTCTTTTCACAAAATTTATCACGGAAATACCCCTATTATATTATATTATTATATTATCATATACTCTATTAAATAATATATATATATATATATTAAATACCCCTATTATATTATGATATTATAGCGATTGCTTAAACTAAACAAATCTTTCATTTTCAATATCAAGCTGCTGCCTTTGTCACAGGTCTCTCTCTCTCTCTCTCTCTCTCTCTCTCTCTCTCTCTCTCTCTCTCTCTTCAGGACGTGGACCATCATGTGTTCCGTCTTTTGTTGCTCAGCAACAGGTTCTTTTTCATAGTTCCCTTAATATTATATAAGCCCAGCCCAATCTTTTGAACAGGAATAAAGGTTTATTCCATGTTTCCTGTTCAGGATTGGGTTTCCAGTTCCTTCTAAAGTCTTCTCATTCTGTTTCACACCCAGTAGCCGCTTGTGTCTGACAGAGAAATAGAATTTGGAATTTGCTCATGAAATTATGCAGACAAAACTATGCTGTGAATATTTATCAGTAAAAATCACCCATTAAGCACAGACTCAAAAACGCACTGTATAAAGGTTACATAGATTTTAATAGTAGTAGATAGGTTCGCCTATCGTCCGGTTCACACTTCTTCCCAGGCTTTTGAACAGGAGTAGAGGTTTATTCCTTGTTTCCTATTTAGAATTAGGTTTCCGGTTCCTTTTAAAGACTTCTCATTTTCTTTCACTCCCAGCAACCGTTTGCCTCTTCATAGTATTGTCGCCTTGCTTGGAGTGAATTGATTTTTTTAAAAAATGTCTACATTAAGGTTTTAAAAAAGAAACCCCAAAGATTGATGTTGGCTTTTATAAGATGATTCTTGATGCACAAACAAAAAAATAAGGTGACGTATTACAGCAGATACAGATTGTATTCCCTCATTGAATATTTGATTAATTTTGTCGTCATCCATATTAGGTTTTAATCTAAAGATCTGAGAATGTCGCCAACGTTGAATCACTGACAGAAAAATGTAACGTTGGTGAGACATTTCCACGACACATATACACTCATAACAGACTTTAATTTCAAACTCAAGAACATCACCATTCATCTGCTTACCATTTTCTCATTGTAAAATACTAGGTATTTTTTATGTCGTATAAGCCTCAGTATTAATGAATCAATTATGAAAGATTTGTTACTTTAGAAGGGAAATTAAAACATAGTGAATTATTGCAACTAAATAAACTTACTTGAACAATTTCCAGGTAATGATTCCCATTGGTTATTTTCCAGGCATTTAACAATGGAACTGTTGCTTTTGTCTGGAAACTCATAACCAAGAATGCACGTGTACATCACTTTCATATTATATGCATACTTTCCTTGCACAGGATTTGACAATGGTATAATTTTGGCCCAATTAACTAGGTCAGGAGACTGACATGCCATTTCTGCAAAGGAAAATAGTTATTGCATAATTTGGAGAGCGACAAAAGACGAAAAGAAATCACCAAACTCTGATTTATTTTTATTCATATTTTTTAAGTTAAGCTTTTGTTAAAGATGATTAATTGCGGGCCAGTTTTTTACAGGTTCTACAGAAGGATGCTGAGAATACTATGGACCGAACATGTGAAGTTCTAGAGATAATGGAAACAAAAAGGACACTTATACATAACATCAGGAAGAGACAGTTGAAATGTATCGACACATAATGAGGAAAGAAAGCTTGAAAAATTTCATACTCACAGGACAGATTCAAGATAAGAGACAAAGAAAAGTAATGCATAACCTACCTGGCGATCTTTAATGAATGAATGACGGAGCAGGGTTTGGGAGAGATGGCAAAACGACAAAAGTTATTTTAGAGCTACAAAGAACAGGAAATTGTGGAGAGCTATAGTCACCAACGTTCTGAAAGGGCACGATACAGAGAAGAAAGACAACTGAGCCGGTAAGGTAGTTATTAAATAATGGTTTACCAAAGTACTTATTTATTTACTCTTCACTTGTCAACCACTGTGGCATGTCAATGACAAGACATTTTTGTTAAGATATCTTAAAAAAGACAGAGTACGGGGAGAAGTGGAGTCATGCCTTTCATAAAAGCCTTAGTACAAAGTGAACATAAGAAACCTTAGCTGAATTTCAAATTATGTTCTTTTTCTTCTTCTTCTTCTTCTGTTTGCCATATCGCTTCAGGGTGTTGCTGATCATGGCGGTCCAGAATTCCCCCATCCTGGGTATGACGATAAACTACATCCGCGTCCAGGGTAAGACGATAAACTACATCCGACTGCAAGGCATCTAATCAGGAGGTTTTGAGGAGTATGGAATTACCTCTTAATTGCTGGTGTTCCCAAGTCCATCCTGACCCAAATATGAGCAAATAGTTAACCCCAAAACTAGGGTCTAAACGTGTAAAAATGTTTTATTACCAGCAATACATTTTTGTAAAAAATTATTACCAGCAATGAATTTTTGAAGAAAAAATTATTATCAGCAATACATTATTACCAGCAATACATTTTTGGAAAAAAAAATCACCAGAAATACATTTTTGGAAAAATATTACCAGAAATACTTTTTTGAAAAAAAAAAAATATTACCAGCAATATAAATCTTGTCTGCATTAAATAACCTATTGATGTTGATATGCCGTAAAACAACCTAACCAAAGCAAACCAGAATTTCCTGTTATTTGTAGCTTTCAGTATATTTTGCTATCTGTTTAATCCTGTTCTGTCATCCATTTTTACGCAAATTCGTTATGTGTTTGATGATTTTAATGCACATCATGTCAAGTGGCTTAAACATTCGAATGTTACTGATGTTACCGGTATTCAAACTTTCAATTTTTCCGTTGCCACTCGTTTCCCTAATAAATCTTATCAACATGCTTCTTTACTTGATTTCTTTCTTATTCTGATTCTCAATGTTTACGCATCAACCCAGGTCAGCACAGTAATAATAATAATAATAACTAAGGGATAAAAATAAAACACCTTTTACTGTTGCTTTCAGCTTATGTATGATCTTCAATATCTAGAATACACGTTTTTACTCACTTGTGGAAGTTGGAGGGGTGAAAATTGACATTGTAAAAATATTCACCCCCCTCCCCAGGAAAGGAAACGAGGAAAGCAGAGTGTAAATCCAAATTTTTGATATTCAAGGAATTGTTTTCCTTTTATTTATAGCCCAGTTTCTTCTGATGTTTTCGTACAAGGAAAAAACTAGACACAGGAAGGTATCTTAATGACTTTAACTCGGGCTGTTTCATCCGGCTGCTACTCGTATTATCATGTAGATTGTTTTCACTCTGACTAGATACGTTATACTTTTATGTATACCTTACGCACGGATGGTATAGTAGACACAAAATGCGCCCGAATATTTGACAGCAAAATACTTCGCTCAGTTCTAAAAGATGTTACTTGAAGATTATATAATTTCTAATAACTTAATAACAATATATGTTTAAAAACTGAAACTTTGCAGATTAATTATTCGATATTAGTTTTAAATACTGTGTAATTGTTATCTTCCTCCATAAATTACAAGTTAATTGAATATTAATTTGTTATCCACTCAGTCTGGATATCGTGTCTTATTAATAATTTTCAATTAAAAGGAGTTTTTATTTTGTCTGAAATTGATTGGTTAACAGGATTTGTTATAATAATGTATCCACTATAATTTGAATCTGTTTAATTTGATTGTTTTAACAAATCTTAATTTATACAGATTTTTAACATTTTTTTTTTCGTAAACACTGCACATTCACTATACTTATCCTATTTTGCTGCTTATAGGAAGCATTTTGTTTCGTATAAAATATCTCCAAAATACACCCCGCATACTATATGTCAAAGGTCATTGACTGGATTAACGCCTCTTCTAATTATTACATTCTAAATAGTTACCATAAACTTGGTGCTTCTCGGTCTGTGATGAATTTGTTATGATTAGTCTGGATTTGATACTGAAATCTGATATTCAATGGGTAAAATTGGGGATGGGGGTGGTGAATTTTTTTCCGATTTCTTCCTTCAAAATCTTTGGCGGGGTGGGGGCGTCTAATATATCGGTAATCAATCATGTGGGTATCATTTTTTTTTTTTTAATAAATAACACTGAAAAGGAAAAGATTTTATAATTATCCCAATAAGTAGATGCATCCCAAGTGGTAGACTACTCTGTCATCAACCTAAATGTATGTTAAGTTTTTTTTTTGTTTTTGTTTTTCTGTTGGCAAAAAGATTGAGACAAACGAAATGTTTCAAGAGTTAAAAAAATCATGCAAGTTAACGTGGTGGTGGTGGTGGTGGTGGTGGTTATGTACGTTTGAATTAAAAAAAAATCTTTGTAAAATTAGTAAAACAACTTAATCATTTTGGTAGTGTACAAATTGATAGATCATTTAAGTTACAAGTAGAAAACTGGTTGCAGTAGAGGTTAATATACAAACGTGCCATGAATACTTACCAAAGGTTCGATACAAAATAAAAGGGGATACATTGCTGTCACTGAGACATTCAGTGTCATTCAATTGGCCGTATTTTCCAAAACTCAATACACATTTGCACATAAATGTTCCTTTCTTTTCTGAAAAAAGAAAATAACTTTCAAATGAACGTTTAAAAGGTATTATCAAATTTTACAAATAGAAATTAGATAATAATCTAGAAGTTAGGAATAATATCAACTTTGTCACAAAGAACTGTTGTAACTGCTAGGTAACCGAAACATATTTGGGAAGGATATTAGAATAATCCAGAACCTATACTAGCAGCAAACCTGCATGCATACAGATAGAAAATTATTTCAGTTAATATACAAAAATAGAAAGTGGCGTAATACAAGGATGTGTCTTCCCACTGAATTTATTCACCCTATACAGTGAAGCGATTCTGAGTGAATTAGAAATCCTACCAGGATCCATTATTACCACAATCTTAACAACATAATATGTGCAGATGACACAGTGTTGATAGCAGACATAGAAAGGAAACTACAAGAACTCCCACAGAAAGTAGTGAAAGAAAGAGAGAAAAAAGGATTAAACATCAATTGCAAGAAGACAGAATGCATTGTTGTTAGCAAAATAAACAGCCAAACATGCAAAGTAGTTTGATTTGGTTTGAAATCCAAAGGTGAATTGAGATAGTAAAAGATGCCTTCTAAAAGCTAAGCCAAGTATTAAAAACAGGAAAATTTCGTTAGAATCAAAGAAAAGACTACTGAACTGTTACGTAATGTCAGTCATCCTATATGGTAGTGAATGCTGAACAATATCCTCACTGATGAAGAAACTTGAAGCAACAGAAATATGGTTCTATTGAAGGATACTGAGAATACTATGGACTGAACATGTGAGCAATGGCAAAGTTTTAGAGAAAATGGAAACAAAAATATATACTTAACATCAGAAAGAGTCAGTTGAAAAATTTAGGACACATAATGAGGAAAGAGGACTTGGAAAATTTGATACACCCAGGACAGATTGAAAGTTAGTGGGAGAGAGGGAAACAAACGCACAACCTACCTAGCCAGCTTGATTATATAGATGGTGGGACATGGTTTAGTAGACATAACAAAAAGACATTTATTAAACGCTACAAAAGACAGGAAATTGTGGAGATCCATCAACGTCCTGAAGGGATACGGCAGATAGAAGAAAAAATGAGTACTTTCATCAAAAACCTTTTCACTCAAAAATGTCTCTGTTCAGACGAGGGTCAGTGGTAGCCGGAAGTAATAAAGGCCAGGAATGCTGGAAAATAAGGGTTCGTGGTAGTCGGAACTGAGGGTCTGTGGTAGCCGGAAGTAGTTTAGGTCAGGATTGCCAAAAGTAAGGATCCAAGATAGCCGAAAGTAGTAAAGCTAAGAATGCCGGAAGTAAGAGTCAGTGGTAGCCGGAAATAATAAAGGCTATGAATGCTGGAAATAAGAACGGATAGGAAAGCCCACCTAGCGTCCATTTGTCAAAATAAAAATAACCCGTCCAGGCCAGGATGCCTAGATTTCGCCTCCTCCTCGTCTTCCCTCCTAGTTCGGCGAGAAGTCGCCGGGTTATATAAGGGAGTATAAACATTAACTGGGCCTGCATACCTACATAATATTTAAAGAAAATAAATTCAGAGTTGCTACAAAGTATAAAAACGTTCACAATGAGTATTCAGACTAAGTTCGTAATACTGAAATAACTAAAGGACATTAGGTTTATTATGAACTTGCTATATTAAATTGAAGGGAGTGTGGCAACGCAATGAAGAAAAGGTCAAGATCATGAAGATTTATAACGTCAGCCCTTGATCACGTGATCTATATTCTCGGGATACAATGCCAATGTAAAGATTTAGGTCTCCCTGATAGAGACCATTAACATTGATTGAAGAAAAGATATAGTAGCCAATAGCAGCAGGAGCTGGCCAGCGTCTATATAAAACTTAAAAATTGTTGACGTTGTTACTAGGTTAGGGGCCATCGTTTAAGATCGAAAATTGTCAGTATTGATGAAAATTGAAAAGCTAAAAGTGTTAAATTGGTTGTGAAACTAGGAAAATAAAAGAGTGAAACGAAAAAAAAAAGCGAGATAGAAATATTCTATCGGGAACATCTTTCGTATGGGGAAAGTTTCGAGGATAATTCCTGAAAGAAAGTGTGAATTCCAAGAATTTTCTTAACAGTGTGTCTATAAAAAGGACGAAGAAAAAGTTGGACATGTACAGCTACAACATGGACCGCTAGCATCTCGACTCGAAGTGAAAGAGAGGAAGCCTCTTGGAATTTATAGTACGCATGCTCCCATTTTTTTTTTTTTTTTTTTTTTTTACGTATGCCCAAAAGTTGAAAAGGCTTACTGCTACTCATAGGGTTATTGACGTATGCGTGCCTAAATATACGTTTTAACGACTGCAACATAGATGCTCTTTACCATCAAACAAAAATGAAAGGCTTAAGGCAGGAAGAAGGTAGAATCCTATCAATGGGCATGGGAGATGAGACTGTAGGCGCACCACTTAAAACACTATTTAAATTTAGCACCTGCTCCTCTTTTTTACACAGCTGCTGCTGCTAATTTCGGGCGTAGTAGAAAACAGGTCACATGACGTATCCAATTTATTGACTAATGAAAATAGACTATACTTCATAATTCTCGGAGCCTCTTGTAAATCTTTATAAATAGTAAAAGATCAGACAGAAAACACCCTTCGTTCTCCACAGCGGTCACAAGTCAACTCTATTGTAGATGGGGGGGGGGGGCAAAGTAGTTTAACTTCATCAACCAATAAGTCATTTCCTACTATAACTCCTTATACATAAAGCAAATACTTTTCTCACACGAACTTACACGACAAATTCAAAAAAGAACCCTTTTTATGTACGTGACTGAACAATTCTACTGTAACTCTATGCCTACAGACAATTATTGTGAATTTTATATATCAGTCACATTCTGTTATTCTTCGATTTTGTATCTATCCTGTTTTGTTTGTTTTTCATTCAAATTTTGTTGCGGATTAATGCCTTCAACAAAGAGTTGCGGATATGAATCGACCCACAACAAAGAGAAAGGTGTTTAAATTTAAAACTATAAGATATTTTTTTATTTTCGTGGATTTTTACAACTAAATTTTTCTTAGCGTGTATGAGTGTTAAAGTTCTTATAAACTTCGTTTGCAGTTGTTTATTAAGATGAAAAGAGATGTGATTTCTTTGCGTTTGTGTATGAAAAAGAGGCAAGGTAGAAAATTAGGAGGAAAGTGTAAGTGTCACGTAGCTTGGTGAAGAAGATGAGTGAATGAGTAAGGAATTTCTTTTAAGCCGACCGTTAAGAACTATTGCAGTGCTGTTAGTCTCACCCTACTGGTTGGTCTGTCTAGAAATTTTGCTTAAATACCATTCAAAGGCATTACAAAGCATTTTTTTTTATTGTTGGCGTGAATGAGACTTGTTGGTTGAAAAATGTTAAATATTTATTTTCAAAACTTTAATTTATTAATCAGAAGAATTCGTGAATCCTCCGACTCAACCGTGTTTATTTCGGTCTTTCCACAAAACAATAAGCTATACTAATAAAACCGAGCAACAGAAAAGGCCAAATCATGACAGGTCATAGGATTATATGAAAACAATTATTAATTGCCTTCACTTGAATACAACTGAGTTATAATCAGTAAAAATATAAATTGAAAGTCAAGAAAGGCAACAATAAGTAAAAATAAGCACGTTATCCTACATGTTTTTTATTACGCTAATCAACATAAAACGGTTTGGGGTGTGAAGACTGCAGAACAATATAGACAACTATTAAACGTACCTTGGATGCCATATATTGGATATCCATTCGCCAAACACGTCTTTTTGCAGTCATCTTTTGTAGTCGCAGTAGCTAACACGTTGCCTGTCGAATTATCACCAGCAAAACAACCGATTGCTTTGTTAGAAGCTGCAACCAGGACAAAATCAGATAAATGACTAAAATATATGCTCAGAAAAGTGGTATATTTACGGATAAAAAACATACACACTGTCTTCAATGCTTGATTTATCTTCTAATTTACGATTTCATTTTGTACCAGGTGCTTCCCAAAAGTATGAGGCATTTGAACAACTTGATTAAACTGTTCATTTGTCAATGTAACGATTGATGAGGGAAATGCTATTTTCTACTCAATGATTCTTAGCTAGCATTAATAGAGCTGGTTGGCTAAACCCACACTAAAATAGAATGCTGCAAAAACTCAATAGTATCCCATGTGCGTCATGCAATATTTTTGCACAAATATACAAATCAAAGTCTTAATAGAAAGTACTAAACTAAGTTGAGCTGTCTATGTAACCAAATAAGTTAACACACGGTGGGAATAAAAAGCAAAGAAAATACTGGCAAGTGAATGTAACAGGTGACTTGAAAGTGAAAAGTTTTTTTTTTTTCCAGAGATAGCTATATTGAGCCAATATCTCTCGGGCCCGTGAGAAATTGGGAAAGAGACATCCGTCTCGGTTGCCAGCTAGGAACTGCGTCACATAGCTGGCGTCTTTTTCCTCTCCATGCGAGGTTGTCACGTCACACTTTATTATTGACCTTTCACCTTTGTATAAACTATGCGTAAAGGCAGATAATTATTTATGTATCCCAAAATCAAGTTGAAAAGATACGACGTAAAACGTTTTATTTAATAGTTGAATATTCTGGCTTTTATAAAATATACCTTAAACAAACTAGATTCAATTATTTATTAATGGTATATACCGTGGAAACAATTATGGAATAACCCAATATTGAGGAAAAGATTATGAAATTCATCGACAAAAATAATGAGAATTAATACTTAATTGTTCCTCCTGACTAACAGAATTGTTGCGGATCTGCTCCTAGTTGGACTAAAAGGCAGTGGCAAACAACACTTACACATCTAAACGACAGGTTGCCATTGAATAGAAAGGTGGAATGTAATGAGTTAATTGCTCCTCCTGACCAACAGAATTGTTACGGCCTTCTTGACCTCATGTTTTTGACTGACTTGAAGTGGAACAACTACATTGAATTAATAGCTGCATCTACTGAAAGGAAAGTTGTGTTACTGTGTCGTGCCAAAATGTTTTCCCGTCAGAGTCCATCTTGCACATTTACAAATCTACAATTCGTCTGTGCATTGAATACTATTGCCATAAGCGGTCTGGTGCCTCTGCTGTTCATCTCGAGGTTCTTGACAAAATTCAAAGAAGGCTCTGCAATGTAATAGATCATGACTTGGTACCTCGACTTTAGACACTTTCTATCTGATGTGGCTTCCCTCTGTCTTTTCTACAAATATTTTCATGGTAACTGCTCTGACGAGATTTTGCCCCAACTACAACAAGTTAAGCGTGCTACTAGATTGGCATCTAGGTCTCACCTTTTTACTGTTGAAATAGCTAAATACAACCGTCACCTCTACTCTAACAGTTTCTTTGCTCGCACTTCCTGTCTGTGGAACTCCCTTCCGCTTACTTGCTTCCCTGATAACTACAATCTTCAAATATTTAAATGCAATGTCAATCGCCATCGCTTCTTGAATCCCGTTCATCTTTTATCATTTTTTCAATCCTCCCTATACATAGTCTTTTCTCTCACTTTCACGCTCTGTAGATCTCTGCGTATTAGTGTCACTCCTGCCTTGCCTGGGGTGAGATCATTAAAAAAAATCTGCTCCTAGTTGGACTAAAAAGCAGTGGCAAAAAATAACTGTCTATATTTCTGAGATGAGCTATTATGTACACTATTTACATTATTCGGACTATCACCCCCATCTTGCCATATTTATCACAACGTTTCACTGTACGCTCCGGCCTTCTTCAGGTGGTTAGAATGTTGAACTGAACCCTTTTTTTCGCTCGCTGGGGTAGACTGTTCTAGTTCTACGTTATCTATTTATTATCTATCAGTTAATCTATCTTGTTAATTCCCCTCTCCAAGTTCTCCACTGCCTTAACCAGGTATTGAACTCACACTCTTTGGGTCACTGGATCTAACTAACGGTTTTATCCACTGTGCCATGCGTCCGTGAGGACACCTGTGTATGAATTTCTGATACTTATAAACTTAATATCTTCAGCAACCAATTTTCCAGTGCTCATATTGCATTTTTTTTTTGCTGTTATCATTTTATATTTTTACCAGAGCTCATACTGTAATTTTCGTTGTTATTATTGCTTTTCTCTGGCACTCCTTATTACTGGTTCCCATATTGTATTCATTTCTATGCTTGGTCGGCTCAGGAGACTTTTGTGGCCTAGCATATATATATATATATATATATATATATATATATATATATATATATATAATACGATGGTGGCAAACAACATTTACATATATAAACAACGGGTTGTCACTATATAGATGTGAAAGGTAATGACTTAATTTCTCCTCCTGACCAACAGAATTGTTGCCGATCTAAACCTAGTTGAACAACATTTACACATCTAAACGATGGTTTGTCATTACATATAGAGGTGAAAGGAAATCGAATACATTTCAACAAGATAATATTTTAACGTGTTTTATATATGGCTAATAAATGACGTTATTTAACTTATTAGTTTTCTACGGTTTATCAACCCTTTGCGGTTATTTAAAGTCAAGAAATATTTTTCAGATTGTAAGATTACTTTTGTTACATAATAATGGTTTAGTGATACAAGTCTTACTAATTAACCCATAGCTAGGGGAGAAGAGGTGGATTCATAATTTTCCCAAGGGTATTTGCCCGTAAGTGAATATAACAAACCCAAATGGAATTGAAACTCGACCCTCCGATTAACAATTCCGAGCCATTATTTATTACAGCACCTGCTACTCCCAAGCGGTCACCCATCTAGGTACTGGCCATGCAACCGTTGCTTAACTTCAGTGGCCGTATGCGAAACCGTGTTTCAATGTAATATGGTCGTAAGTCGCTAATAAATGATTATCAAGAAGTATGCTTGTATGCATGTTAAAATAGATTAAAAGAAAGACAACATTAAAATTTAGCTGTTACGAATGGTACGTGTGTGTTCGTGCGTGAAAAGTTTAGTCACCCGTGGAAAGATAGCCACAAGTTTTGGACGAGTTCCGTGTTGGTGTTGCTACTAGTTTCCCGTTTTTTATAATTCATATACATCACCGCCTAACGGCATCTTGACAAACCAAGTTGGGTAATCCCACAAAATGTCAAATACTGTCCGTAATGTTAAATATTGCCTGACATGTTAAATATTGTCCGAAATTCCGAATTGAAATATCGTTCCACCAGCTATTTGGATTAATATTAATGGATTAATATTTTGGATTAATATTATCATCTTTGTTTCTATTTGTATTCCAAATCTCAGGTTGGGTGTAAATGGAGTTTTTTTTTTTCTAATTCATATAAACAAATGTTTGAAAACAGAGTAATTATATTAAAAACTTTCATCCGACTTTATTTTATAACTTCAGGACTGTCATTATCAGCGAAATATTATCTGAAATCGTTCATTATCATAATTCCACGAGTTGTTCAAATGAACTCTCTTATACTTCTTTTTATTTATTTATCATTACGTTTTGGCCAGTGCCTTCTTTGGTTGCAATGTAGATATAAACCTACAATAATAATGACATTTTTCTGAATAATAAAGACTCATTTCAAAATTTCACACAATAATATTTAACTGATAAGTGATTCGGGCCTTCAGTTACGCATATCCTTTCTTCACTTGTTTACAACATAGAAAAAACAAATCAATGAAAATTAGCCAATCAGACGCTAGATAAAAACACAGAGCATTGAGAGTACGTCGCCATGAAAATCTTCACTTCGAAGATTAAATTCTTAACTTTATTTTCTAATATATATGTCATCCCAGCCGAATGGATTGATATAAAATTGATCGAAAAGGTTTTTAAAATTAACTGAAAATTTAAAAATGTGAAATTAAAAAGAAAAACGTTTTCGAGAAAAATACTTCACCTTTTGACAGCGGATTTCTACTCACCAAAAACATGTTCATATGGTTGGCCAAGGAATTCAAAGCCTAAGGCAATTGATATATGGCTTTGTTTAACAACGAGACGAATAGTGTTAGCCACAAAAGGTTTTCTGAAGAGTCGAGTGACGACACTGTTACCATCGGTGTTTGCCTGAAACTTAATAAAAATAGTTGTCAGTATTGTAGGCTCCCATACTTTTTATATAACGGTAAAATACAGATGTACGTATAATGTACACTAAAATACATTCAGTCATTTATGTTCATGTTGGTATGATTCGCATACTCGACTACATCGATGTCTCACGAAAGAGGCTTATTACTTAATGGTTAGAAAAAGAAGTTGGAAGAATAATGTCTGTCACCTGAACTAAAACTGTTAAACAATAAAAAAGAGGATACACAGATGAGTAGATATTTACTGAAATTTGTCCGTCCAAAGAACACTTATAAATTTATATGCCTATAAATTTATAGATTTACGTTTGAACAACTATTTAAACTCGCTCGTAATACTTAGGAACAAAATGGCCATAACTTTGATTTTACAAATTCCACCCTAATTAAAAAAAAAAAAAACTAAGCATAATTGTTTATGCCGAAAGTACTTCGAGAGACAACTAATAACAATATTACCAACTATAAACGCTCATCAAAAACATTACATCACCAACCTTTATTGAATCCATTCTTAAAGAATCTAATGCATGTTTACCTAAAACAAACTGTACGTAAAAAGGTTCCGAAATAAACATGCGAAAAAACACCGAACATAATGTCTACCAGACAGACACACACACACACACGCATTTACGAATATACCTTATCATCTGATTTCCACACAAATTAGAATTATTATACACTTACATACATAAAGCAATATTTACAGTTTTACAGTTAGGCTTGGGATCCGTTAACTTCTTGGAACTTCGAAAGGACGCGTAGTCTCTCCTTGAATTCGGAACGCTATAAATTATGTTGTCTTAACCGTAAACTGGTGGGACTAAAGAATGTAGTTCGTCTGAGCACTTTCCATGGAAATATCGATATAGCAACGCAAAGCTTGCAACGTTTTGTCTGTGAGAAACATCTCTAAGGTGGAGAATAATCTGTCACCCACAAGGATGCAGAGATACGTTTGGACTCAAGATTGGATAGAGAAGTGTGGGTAGTACTTGTATAGCCACAGTATTTCATAGCCTGATCTGACTCTTGTAAAGGTAGATAATGGCAGGAAGAGTCAGGTACTTACTGGTACGGTACGGGGAACCGACCATTTTCCCAGTATTTTTACCGATGGATAGTGTCTACGAGTTCCACTTGAGGTCTGGATTGATTTTAAATCCCAATAGGCGCTCAAGACAGAGGTAACATTCGTTCATCATGATCAGGGTCCGATCGACGATAATGGAATGTAACTCGTTTGGTTTTCGAGGCATTGAATGTAACCAGCTAGTTTTTCCCCGTGATGTTAGAGCTAGGCAAGAGAAAAAAATCAGTTGCCAAGCTCTGGTCGTCTAGAGTTTTGGAGGTGCCAAGCTCTGGTCGTCTAGAGTTTTGGAGGTGCCAAGCTCTTGTCGTCTAAAGTTTTGGAGGTGCTGTTGATCAGCATAGATATTCACAAATGATCCGAGTATACTCTTGTTGTGGATCTAAGAAGGCTGCGTGAATATTTTAATATTTCGCTGTAAATGAAACACGCTACATTCACAAACATAAATTTAAATAAAAATCAAATGATAACGATATTCAATTACGACAAAAAGGATATGTTTGGAACAACAAATAAATTTTTTATATGCAGAATATTACAATTTTGTTTTGTAAAGATGTGTGCGAAAACTTGATCAGATTATTTTAAAGGGAAAAATTCTTGTTGCTGGTTTGGAAATGTTTCGTATATTTATAATGTAGTTTGGGAAATTTCGTACGTACGTGCATGTGTGAATATGTTTTCATAAGCGTCTGACCGCACATGGTCAAGACGCGAATCCTTTAATGTTACATTTTCGTAGGCGAATGAAATCAAGAAAGAGAAGAAAAGAGAAAGAACAAATTTGTGTTTGATATTTATAATTAATGCAACCACGTGACAGGCTCCTGGAAAAAGAGCGGGAAAACTTGGCGTCATACACTGGAAAAAGACTTGTACGTGGGTGGATTGCAACCTCCACTTTTGTGTTTATTGACCAATTAGAAGTTGAGATTTCCTGAAAATTTGTATGAAGCTGGGTAAGCTCTTTGATCCACTTTTTGCACAGATTTGTACAAAATTCAACATTGATAAGAAAGTGGCATCGAGAAATGCAAAACTCATAGGCAGATCATTTAAATAAAAAAACGGTTATAATTAATATAAAAATGCTCACAAACCTCAGTGATATTATTCTCACTGTAGGGAGCCAGGTAACCAGGACTTGCATCTCCATAAAACAATTCATAAGACATTACCCACCTTTCGTTGGGCTTCATAACGCCTGGAAATAAAATTAAAAAATTGAATTACGGAATTTTAATTATTTAATATTTTTGTAAGTTTAGTTTTCTTGTTTGCTTCGAAGTAGGCTAAGTTGACATCGTTCATGTTTTTATCCTTTCTGAAAGGATTTTTAAAGTAAAGCGTTTACAAGGGTTAATGAATAAGAATAAGAAATCCATTATTATGAATAAGAAAGATACTGTTCTGTAAAATCTTGCTAAAATCTCGATATTTATGAGTATCATGTATGTGAGATTGCCTAACCTTATTTTCCAGGAGACTTCTCCTAATGTCCACGAGATGGCGTTGTATAAAGTAGTATAAAAGAAAAGTGCACAAGCCCTCTCTATTCCTCTGCTCTTCAACCATAGGATGCTGTAGGGAAAAGATGTGTCACATTTCCCCTACGTAGGACTAACTAAACCCAACGAACTACGTGTTGCTTACAACACAATACTGTTAGTACACTGTATCCTATTCGAAAAAAAAGTTAATATGACCATAATAATGAATTTTTCAGCGTGCCCACGTGGGTTTACCATTGAAAAATTGCTTAAGCCCCCTCGGCACTTCACCTTTTGGGGATGACTCAGGCACCAGGTAATGACCCCAAACCCCTGCCGAAGTAGAGATAGTGCCTGAGAGGATGCCCCTCATGAGGCTTGAGCTTAAAATTATTTTAAAAATACCCCAGCCGATACGACCACAATTGTGACCACAATAATATTTTCATTAAAACCTATCGTATAAATATGTATCTGTCCTTAATTTCCAAGTTGTTCACTAGGGCACGATCTCCCTATACTATAAATACTGGGCGATTTCTTGCCTCGTTCTCTTTTTACTTTGCATTTCAGCGGACACATTTACAAAATGTGATCTCTCGCAGAGATCCGCGTTTTGCCCACTTCTGGGAAAACGCCACGAAACACACATACACGTACGTACAAACATTCAGCAAAATACAAACTCTTTACATTCACACACAAGCACAAAAGTTAATGTCTATGTCCATTGTAAATTTTGTCGTTTAATACATATATTTGTTGATATATATATATATATATATATATATATATATATATATATCGGTCTTGTTGATTTTCTTTACACTTCTTTATGGTGGATTCAATCTCTGAGTCCGCCATGTTCTTGTAGTTGGACCTTCTTCTAGCAGGAATAAATGCACGTGTTTCTAATTTAACAACACGCAAATCCACGGTCCGCTATATATCCACCTACAACTCAACAAAATATCTCAGTTCAACAAAGGAGTCAACGTCCTTACAAACTAGTAACTCTCATCACAATGTGGTAACTTCATGCCGTTTTACGTATCTAAGATTTACGAAGGGCACCTCGAGGCGGTGTAATGGTTAGCAAGCTTGTCTCGCTGGAACAATTACGACAGAGTAGTGAGTTAGATCCTCACTGGATGTCCCATACTTTCGGCCTTATGCCACATCTAAGCTACGCTTGGAAAATCATTATAAGATTTACGACAGTAAAAACTATTTTAAAATGTGTTTTGTCAAAATTACAGTAAAAGCCAAGTCAAAGTAATCGTTTCTCTCGAAAAAACTTCCGTAGTGCGTAGAAGTCTGTTATGAGTTTTAAAATCAGAAGATTATCGAATAAAAAATATATTTAATGGAAAGGAAAATGCTGGGAAGTAAACAATAAACGCCGACAAACTGTAACGAATCAATAGACTAATAAGGAGAAACGGAAAACTTGATGTTTAATAATTGATGAGGCGGGAATGGATACAAGGCAAGATAATGAAATCAATAGTGGCGCTAAGAGGAACGCGACGATTAGAAGGTTCGTCACGCAGATCAATTCGCTAGAGTTCGATCCTTAATAAATATCCTGTTTTTGTGATACTGGATTAGATTTAGGAATACTTTAAGGTGGTTCGCTAGAGTTAGCAAATTAGTCTCACGGACAGTTAAAGTGCAATCCTCAGTGAGTACCTAACACTTGTGGTTTTGTGCCACATTAAGCGGGCCTTATTAAATGTTTTCTTTCGGTTTCTGTTGTCGATCGATTGTTATCACGCTTACCTAGCAAACCGTTAATGTGTCTTACCTTTCTGGCCTTGTGCCATACTAAGTGAAACATAAATAATAATAGTTACTACTATATTGATCGTATTTCTGTATATTTTTGTTTGCTCACCTAACAAACAAAAATAGCAGATTGTAACGCAATTCCGTTAAAATGCTATATTTTATAAAAAATAAAGAAATTTTATTTACTGTCCAAACAGCTTACTATTTTTCTGGTTAATTTATATAATTAAGTATAAACGAACAAACGTATGTTTTTTGAAGGGAGATAACTCCAGATTTCTTGTATATGCTAGTGTCCCTTCAGAACAGTGGAGATCATGGCTATCCACAATTTCCTGTCCTTTGTAGCTCTTAATAAATTTTGTCTTTTTGTTATCTCTACCAAACCCTGTTCCACGATACTTTTACTTAAGACACTAGATAAGTTATGCGTTGTTTTCCTCTCTCCCCTTACCTTCAATCTGCCCTGTGAATATCAAATTTTCCAAGCCCTCTTTCCTCATTTCCACATTTAATAACTGCTAATTACAAAGAAAAAATAAGAAAAATAAACAAATAAGAATCCTTGACCTGTACGCACTTTACTTCGTCAGTATCATGGCACACCAGTAATAATACTCTAAAAATAACTAGAATTTGTAAAAAATTATAATATAAATTTTATAAATAAGGAACAACTTGATATCGATCAGAAGGTAGTATATATGTGAATAATAATAAGAAATAAATCAACAACGAGATATATCAAGGTAATTCTCACACCTATTATTCTGTATTGTATTAATACCGTCCTCAAACAAACTAAATAATACAAGTTATGGATATCATATTGTTTGATAAGCTTCTTAATATTTTAATCCATATGGATGATTGGAAACTGTGAAAAATGATCATGTACTGAAAGACACGTTAGCAACAATAAAGAAATTCGGTGATTATATTACCACAACATTCTTGACTTAATTGATTGGAGGTCTTAAACCTTTGTCTGTCCTGCGCATCATATGTGAGGCACAGGTCACGTGATTTCCACGTCAGTGCATCATATGTGGTGCACACGAGCCATGATTTTAAAAGAGTGGTAAATCTAAGGACGCTCAAGAAAATAGTCTTCTATTGAGCAGTACGTCTAAGGAAAGACCTAATCTAATATTTTGTGTATCATATATAACCACAGACCACTGATAATGTAAGGTCTCAAATGAAAGACATCTATTTTTCCACTTTCCAAATTATTATAACCTTTACATCACATGTGATGCACAGAGAGTAGTTATGAATTGTACGTTCTGTGCGTCACGTGATGCACGGGTTTTTATTATGTGAAACACGGGTTTTTATTATGTGAAACACGGGTTTTTATTGTGTGAAACACTATATATCAGCACATTCTATTTGCTAAATAAGCTGCAATAGTTATAAATCTGAAAACAAGCATGGGCGTTTGGATAGTACAGACGAAAATTCCCAAAGAGTTAACATGTACAAGGTTTGTCTTGGAGAATCAAAATGGGCAACAGTAAATATCCTGTTTATTATACTCGATATCGTATAGTTGCAAGAGAACAACATCAACAAAGTATTGCCGGTGAGGTGGAAACAAAAGGAGACAAGATATGTTTAAATAATTTTATCTGTATTGACAGTATAATAATAAATCAAAGCGGATGGGCAAGGGAAGTGGCCTGTGAGATGGGAGAGTTGGTTGTGCAGGGGCTTAGTGTTGAAGCTTGTGTCAAGTCGACTGACTGAGAGACCAATAATGAATTCAGTTAACTGACTGTGAAATGCTTTGGGGGTCGCTGAGCGGGTCTCTGTAAGCAGAATGTAAATATATAACTCAACGGTTTTTGTCATGTTTTTGCTTTAGCGACAACGTTCGTGATTAACTTCGACGTTTAATTTTTCTCAATATAAAAGGGGCAATCGGAAAACAATTTAAATTTTCAAAAATTAAAAGACATTAAATTTAACATCGAATAAATAGTGGCAATTCTGTAATTTGGTGATTATATATCGAATAAAGAAGATTATGATTGATATATTCCACTGTAAGAGTCCTATCGGACTTTGAATACGTACCTCGTGTCCGTATGCCAGTCACGGTGTACAAACTGGGTAACGCTACCTCCACCCACTGACCGTTTACAGACGCTGGTTTCCAGGCGTTGCTCATTGTCGGAAAGATGTGTACTCTGGCAAAAGAGTAAAATTACGAGTTTAAGATTTTACTCAAATAAGCTATTTTTAATACTAAAATAATATGCGAATAATTCATCATCTATGATTTCTTCCTCGAAATTGTAAAAAAAACAAAAAAAAAAACAAAAAAAACAGTTTTCTAAAAAACCACTTCTTGCAATTGTAAAAAAAAAACGTCTCATCGCGGAACAAGTTAGCTTAGTAGACCATAAGTAATGTAGTGAGATTTATACTCAAGGATTGTCCTACACTTTTGATATTGTATCATACTAAACTAGTCTTAGTAAGTACCATAATAATTCAAAATGATGCATTTTGTAATTTGTTCCGAAAATAGATTCCTTATATGTTGTAAACGGTAACAGAAAAGGAATAATTATATTGGCACTGCATTAGTTGCAATATAATGGCTGTGTAGATGCAAAAAATTAACAATATTAACTCACATATTCCCACCAAAATGTTGTCACATGCGCTTCCCAAGAAGAAAAAAATCCCAGTTGGAATTTTATAAGAGAACTGACAGCAAAAATGTGACAGAGTGCATAAACTGAAAAGACTGAATAATATAAAAATGTTTTACCAGCTGTGATTTTTCATCGAAATTGTAGGGTAAAAAAAAAGTTAATTTTTAAAAACACAATCGAGAAGGAACGATATAACTAAATAACATTGCTTTGCCTGCAAAGTCAAAATAAGTTTAGTTAGACTAACAAAAGTCAGCCTTAATGTAAGCACATTCTCTTGTTATCATCCTGTATACATATTGTTCATTCTTACGTTATGTTTATGTTCAATAAATATTTTCTACGTGACCTGTGCTTTTATTTGCATCCCATTGTCTATGTTTTCTTTGTTGGGAAAAATCGCACAACAAAAGTTGGATTATTAAACATAGTGATTTGGATGTAATAAACAGGTTGGTGGAATGTCCATGAAATGAAAACAACAACAAGCACTCTTTACGTCTTATAAACAAACTTTAAGTTTCGTACTTCTCAGTAAATATTGTCTAAATGTCCACCCTGATCTGGGGTGGTAGCACCTGCTAGGGTCCCAGCTATGGTCAAATAGTGAAACCCTAAATAAAATATTATGAAAGTATAAAATTACATTTTATAGTAAAATGCCAACAATACACGTTTATATAAAAAAAAATGACCAACAATACATATTTATATCAAAATGACCAACAATACATTTGATCTGTAGTTGATGTCTTACTTCTGCATTCAAAATATATTTAGTTGAAGCCATAAAATTGCGTTCAAAATATGAAGATTTCGATATTAAATAACCCATAGTGGTTGATATGCTACTAAATAAAATCAAACAACCAATATAGAAAAATGTTCATATTAATCCATGTAATATCCTACAATTTCTTAAAGAACTGTATTCCAAAATATAACTTCAACAAAACTACAACATAAACACACATATCACCGCTTATCTAGTAATTATGTTCACATAAACATGTATAAGCACAAAAGCTGAGTATCATCTACCATGTATTCAATTGTGAAAGCAGAATAAGAATTCATATTTTTATTACTTTAAAGCTCCCGAGAAAATTAAATTACAGCATTAAATGACCCATAAAGAAGTTGATATGCCGTTAAACAAACAATTCAAACAATCAAATACTGTCTTTTTAATAAATATAATTAATCTCTATCTATAAAAGGCAGGATGTGTGTGTGTGTGTGTGTGTGTATGTGTGTGTGTGTGTGTAACGAATGCACGGCCGCAATTTTCGACGGATTTGCACTAAAATTTACATGCACATGCTCCGGAAAGGCCAAGACCCACTTTGCATTTCCCAACTTCCATCAATAGTGGAAATAATCGATATTTTCATGCTTCTACGGCAGTTTTCATGTAGTTTGCGGCCATTTTGTACTGGCCAGAGTGAGAGCCTATAGCTGGCTGCCACGAATAGGCAGGAAGATTCTATTGGCCAGCGTGAGAGCCGACAGCTGACTGACACGAATGTTAACTAGCATGCTAGCATGCAAAAAAATAATCGATAGCTGCATTCGTGGGGAAAATTTAAATCTGCATGGCACTTTACTCCAATTGGCTCATTCGCTTGCTTAAACTCAACGTTGATTCTAATTCCGCAAAACTGGGTTGGGTGTGAAAAAGTATTTGTTGTTAACATTCTTTTTTCATTCGGTTTTTCCAGTTACGAGTCCTTTTTTAAAGCAGATCGTTTTGTGTTCATTTTGTTTAATTCTTTTTTCGTAACAGATTTAATGTTTAGTATAGAGCTTAGAAAAAATTCGCAGTGTGAGATAGGCAAGAAGTAAGACATGTAGCAACATCAGCATGGCAAAGGGTACTCCTTTAAAGTCAAGGAAGGGCAAAAATATTTTAAGTCAAGTGATAGCGATTGCTGTATGAATCGTACGATTTTTGAATCAAGCACGGGCGACGCCGGGCCATACTGCTAGTTTCTAATGAATTACATTGATAAAATCAGAGCGCAATAATTTAGTCAAGATATTTTTGAGATCTATCAATATATCGTTTGTTGCAGACGCTACTCTTAGACCAAAAGCAGTGGCAATAATATTTTGTACAAGTAAATGATAAATTCTGTCTATATTTCTGAGATGTGGTATTGTAAGTAGTTACACTACATTGTTCGGGCTGTTGTCTTCATCTTTATTGTCACATTCATAATGTTTCGGCCGTTGTACGCTCCGGCCTTCTTCAGGTGATATACTTTGGAATTTCGAACCAAACTCTTTATTTAGTCCACGGGGGTAGATTGTTCTAGTTCCACATGCCATGCCTTTTCTGGATATCTCAGTTCCAGTTAATTCCCTTTACTGACTCAACTCTTCAAGTTTTTGCTCACCTCTACTGTGACCAGGTATTGAACTCACAGCACATGGTCCAGGCGTTGGCTGAAGTAATCCAGTGACTTGACCAACAGGAAATTTTTTTGTTTTTGTTTTTATATAACTTAGTAAAACGAAAGAGAAAACACATTAAAGTGTATGCAAAAGACATTAAAAGTTAGCGATTATGTGGGTGATACACGCGTGTGTGTGTGTATGTGTGTGAATAAAGTTCAGTCACTGAGGGGGAAAGTCCCGAGAGGATGAAGACAGGAAGTTTCCCGTTTTTATAGGTGCTTGACAGCGCTGCCTAATGGCTTTTTGGTAACAGTTGGCAAAGCTATGTAGAGATAACCCACACGTTGTAGGCGGACATTTAAAGTAATATCCAGATTAATAACAAGTATTTATGTCCATTTACACAGGTGGAAGTTGTAATAATTAATTTTACAGGCTAAGAATTAATGTATCACATACCCATTTTTGCTTTTTAGTCTTTTCCCTAGCGCAACAGCCTCGAGATTGAGAGATGTTTTTACTCGTCTTTGCACAAGTCAAAACATATAGGTGATCATTTTTACATTAACCGATAAATTCACAATGTTTCAGAGACATGATTGATGAGTGAGATTATTACGTATTTCCTACAGGTGTCACATGTCAAAGTTTGAGCTCATGCTTACCTGGGTTCAAACAAATTTCGAATGCTAACTTTTAAAACAGGAAAGCTCTCTCCCCACTGATGTAAAAAATACTGTCTGGCCTTATGCCATACAAAACTAACCTTATAAAGTTTTGATTTTTTAGCTGCCTTCCACATGGAGGCTTGTAATCTTGCTCTTGTCACTGCTAAAAAAAAAGGATTGTCTATTTTTTTTACTTAATATCTACTTGCATTCTCATTTAAGCAACAACAGTGAAGCAAAATATCATTGGAGAATCATAATATGAAGATATGTTTATTTTAATAGTCAAGCTTTGATTAAGGATAAACTTGTACTTGATGCATGCATATCCTACACAACCAGGTTCCTTTTCTCCCTACTGGTGAAAGGATCCAGTTCGTTCGGTTGACGTCATCATACCCCTAATGGGAATGTCTCTCTTGTATTAATCGATTACAAATACGAGACATCTGTATCAGCCAATTTCTCGGATGACAGTGATATCATCAACTGCAATAATGAGAAATATATATATATATATATGTGTGTGTGTAAGCGGCCTGACGATTGCGTCTAGCATGAAACAGCCTGTCGCCTCTGAGTGTTGACTTCAATGTTCACTTTTATATTTATATTTACATACGCTCTATCTCTTATATTGAGCACTTTATCCCGTAAATATAGCACACCTTAAAACTATATTTCTTTATATATATATATATTCTGTTTATACGTTATTTTTATAGATACAAATATTTAAGTAAATGCTCTGTAAACAGTATTAACAACATTTAGCGGCCTGAATGTCCGAGAAATTTCGTAGAAAATATGTGTCCCCCGACAGGAATCGAACCTGTATCCTATATGGAGACGTCATTTCGCCTGATGTGCTATACCATTTAGCTACAGCGGAAGCAGATATGATCGTTCGCAAAAAATCATGGGAAATTTGTTGTTTAAAAACAGTAATTTGACTTTGCTAACCAGACTCTTCCTCTGTATGCTGTTACATGATTTATAAAATTTGCTGTTACCCCAGTATATATAAATATAAGTAGTAGATGTAAAAACACAAGGGATAAATATAAGCTTTATCTGGTAGAAAAAAAAATGCGATGCTCAGTTTGAGCAACGACAACAGAATACTTTTCTTAAAAAGCAGAAGTTTTATTTGGTTTGTGCTCCAGCCCTTCGGACGGTCAAAAAAAAATTTGGCAGATTCCGTGAAGATCATTTTAACAAAAAAGGACCTACCACGCTCCGGACGGACCTTCCGACGTCGATGAAGACGCTCTGCTTGCCATCGTGGAGGATAAACCGAAGATTTCGACGAAAGAGACTGCTAAGTGTTTGAAAGTTGATATCTAAACTACTTTCGCTATTTGAAGAGACTTGGGTTCAAGAAAAACGGCCGATTTTGGTAAACTAAAAAAGCCTCATTTTCTACCCCAACAACGTAAGACCGCATGTTGTAAAACAGACCTTACAGAAATTGAAAGAGTTGAAATGGAGAAACCCTCCAGCACCCACCATATTTTCCTGACTTGACTCCTTAAGATTTTCATTTGTTCCGGTCTCTAGAGAACAATTTAAATGACAAAAAACTAACTCTGTACAGTCAGTTGAAAACTACATCACAATCTTCTTCCAACAAAAAAAAAAATAACAAACAAGATGTTTCTACGAAATGGCATCTTGTAGAACGATAGGAGACAGTTGTTAAAAACTATGGAGACTGTATTTTTGTTTGTTTGTTTGTTTGTTTTTTTGTATGTATGTAAACTTTACTTTTAATTTTATAATCGAACAGGAACTTTTACAATGATCTAATATATTGATTCTTTCGGATCATTTTTCCCGTCGTTGTTGTCTTTTTCACAATGTTCTTCGATCACTGTACAATCCGGTCATATTCCTGTCCAAATTTACAAGTTTTTGTTATTATTATGCATTACTCCAGACCAGATATGATTTATTGACTTTGCAATAACGTTTCGGTCAGTTTACGTATTATGTTGTGATTCTGAAAAAAAAATCAATGTATATTAGAAAGAGGAAATTTTACAATTTTGGAAAAATAACATTTATTAAAACATCTTACCGAAGATCTGTGGTTGAAAAGGATGCCTGTTTAGAGGTGAAAATGTAGTTATTTGGCTGGATACCTTCAGCATAACCTCCTGAAATGGTAATGGTGAAAATAACCGTTTCCTTACAGAAAACATTAGATATACATTGATAGATCAGTTAGTCTCACTTTGTAATCTTCTTTTTTTTTTCTTAAAACATTTAAGAAATCAGACTTCTCCATGCCACTGTTATCGCCCTTTCTAGGATTGGTAGCAGTTTATTTCTAAATCCTTTGTTTAAGATAATGTGAGGAGCAGCATTTTGATTTATTGGTAACAGTTTATTTCTAAATCCTTTGTTTAAGATAATGTGGGGAGCAGCTTTTTGATTATATCAATATTTTCTATTCTAGTTTCATGTGCTTTCCATTTTTATCGTTGTTCCTGTTGGAAGTGTTCTAATTATCTTATTTGTTTTTTTTATTTTTTGGTTAATCTCTTCGTGTTTTTTAGCGCCAGTCTATAGAATTAGTAAAGGATTGTCTTCTTTAAGACATAAAAGATTCATTCATTTGAAGCCATATATATATGAGCAAATATCAGATGTACTGTCAACAATTTCGGTATGAACATTCTTTCCATCAATCCCACACTTGCTTTCTTTTTAATGGTTTCTCCGTTTGTCTGTTTTGTATTCAAAGGTTATAAATTTAAGCGGTGATATTATTTATCAACTAGAAACTATACGCTGTTTCAGGTCTTCTACAAAAATATTTTTGCTGTATGGGCGGCGGCCCTAACGGAACCAGTTGGACATTGGGTTGGACAACATTTTATATGATTGCATAAACTCGTGTGTGTTTTTTTGGGGGGCGGGTGGGGGGTTATTTTTTTCTATACACAAAATATCTGAGGTGTAGTATTGCTTTTTCTAATACTGAAGACTTCAACAATCCAGGAATTTGTTTTTTTCGGTCAGACCGTATAAGAAAAGTGCAAGTGGAAACAGTGGAAACAGACGGAGAGTAATGTCTGTCTGCAGTAAGTTGTGGAATTGATTCAGTACGATTGAAATAACACCGACCATCGGTAGATCGGCTTTTATCCCTATGTAAGATACTTAATAGCAAACATGATAAAATATAAACAAAAATAAACTGAACGAAATCAAAAAGATGTTTAAAAAAATAAATTTAAAAGTTTAAAATTTTAGTGTCCCTCTCCTTCATGCAGATATGTAGTTACACCAACGTAACCATCACTTTAGTCGGATTAAGTCCTAAAGCACGAAACGCGATACATGAATTTTTTCTACTTTGTCATTAATTTTCCTATTATCGGATAAAGCAAATGGTGTTACAAGCAAACAAAGAAAATGTGAATTTAGGAAGAATAATAGCGAAGAAAATATAGGCAATGATTGCCCGCCCCCAAAAATGGCGTGTTAAAAGGATGGTTATTCATCTGACACCGCTATTACTGTATACACTTTTGACTCCCTCAGCGATGTTTATTTACAAGATTGCAAAAATTAGTGAACCAAGTACAATGCAACATTTATTATTTACTTTTCATAAAGATTTATTGACCACTATCCGAGGCACACGACGTTGCCCAGGTGTACATAGCTGCAATTGTATAACCGTACCCCCTGTATAGAAATGTCTGCCTGCGTCATCCGTTGGTATACTAAGCTACTACCCCCTCATCTATTTTACGATATGTCCTTCGTAAGTGTTTGATTATTTTTAATAAAGGAATTCCATCGATAAAACCTTCTTGTGTGGTGGTTGCTCGCGGTTAAATTGTTTCAATGTTTTAGATATCACGGCCATAGGAATTTTATTGAATAACTCCCAAATAGTATGGCATTGTTCACAAATCTAATAATCAAACAAAAAACAGAGATGAAACGTCAGAGATTGTTTCAGCTGCAAACACATGAATGCTTCCTCCTTCTTCGCACGTTTACTGTAAAGCTGGAGTTAATTGATTTTTCGAGAATTTTTTCCTCTTAACGCTTCAATAATCCTTCTCAAACAATCTTTGCATCAAAAGGTTGTTCGAATGCCAATTTAAGATGAAATTATATGAAAAAACTATTGGCTAAATGGCAAATGCCAATTTTGGACCTAGTTTGTCGTAGATGTTGTCCACTTAACTGAAATAATCTAAATCAGGCATTCACGCAAATCAATTTTTGTGTCAAATGTAATTTACATGGCAAATTTGGAAAGCAGTGAGTTATGGCCGAAAAACGAGCCTCTTGAGCAGTTTTTCGTCATACGCGGGGAAGCAAGCAGGACTAAAACCACACTATCTTATTTCTTGCATTTTTTGCGACATATTTAAAGAAAATCGGATAAGAATGAGGAAGTTATTCAAGTTTTTATTTAAAATAGTACGAAAAACCCGATTTTTTCAGTTTTTTGCAATATTTTGTGAGAAGCTAATGTTGCAGGAAAACTATCAGACACTCTACATAAACCACGTAACATGAGCTATGTTTTGCATTAAGTGCAAAGAACATCAGCTCATCCAGTAAAAATTTTAATCGCATGTAACTTTGCCTTGGTTTTTGCAAAAGTCGTACCCACCTTCAGTTTTATCGATTTTTCTGTTACATTCTGGAAGCCTAGAGATTGAAAAGTTGATCTTGACCTAATATAATAAATTTGCAACATGTGTGTACAATTTCATAGAAATAAGTCGACTAATGTAGACGTGTATAAATAGCATACATACACAGACACACACAGAGACATATTCTATTATATAAGTATAGATTTTATAAAAAAAAATAAATTTGAAAAGAAAACATTTTTTCAAAAAAATATAAAAAATTACAAAATTATCAAAATATGTAAATCAACTACAATGCAATATTTATTATTTATCACTTTATAAATAACCATGAAAACAAGGTTTCTATTCATTCTAATAAATAAATAGTGTTTAATATCTTTATTGTCAATTCTCAAGAACAAAGAAAATGTATAAGTCCATTTTCATATGTTTGGATTTTATTAAAATTCTCATCATCGCTCTTTAAAAACAATAAATATTGCCGAGGGAATCAAAACTGTATACAGTAATAGCCGTATCAGGGAATAACTGTCCTTTTGTAGAGGACCGTTGGGATTTAGTGTTGTTGGATTAGAAATACGTGCTGTTTATTTTCTGCTAGAAGGTCCAACTACAAGGAAATGGCGAACTCTAGTTTTGTCCAACCGAAGATGAAAAGAAAACAAACAAGACCGATTTATATATGTCAATAAATATATGTATTAAACAACAAATTTACAAGTGACAAAGACATCAACATTTATGTTTGTTGTGAACGTAAAGAGTTTGTATATTGGTGAAAGTTCGTACGCACGTTCATGTGTGTTTCATGGCGTTTTCTCACAAGTGGGGAGAAAACGCGAATCTCTACGAGAGATCATATTTTTAAATGTCTCCGCTGAAATGCAAAGTGGGTCGGTCTGAGTTCAGTCTGAAGTTGGACGACCAGCTGAATTCTCTGCCTTCGGGCGGAGAGGAACCCGAACGAGGCTACGCCGAAGGGCGGAGTCTCTTTCGGGGAGGTAAACCGACCCAGAACCCGTTTATACGGGTTCAAAGGGCATATTTTTGGCCGAGTCCATGGGCTCGGAGATCCCACGTTAAACCGGCCTTGTGCCATATGATACCCTCGTGGGTGGAGGGTGACTGAATATCGCAAAGTGAAAAAGAGAACGAGGCAAGAAGCCGCCCAGTATTTATAGTGTAGGGAGAGCGCCCCTTAGTGAACAATTAGGGAATTAAGGAGAAGCTAACTCCGACACTTTTGACACACCGTATTTTTGCGGGCACAAAGTTTAAACATTTCAAAATATTATCATTGAAAATTATCACCGAAGTAAAACAGTACTAAAAATGTAGCGAGAACCAACCGGGGTTATTTCTTTCTGCTGTGACCGGCTAACGTTGAAACTGAAGATGTGGATACAGAACGAAGATCTTTGAAATATATCATCACAAGAGGCAAAGCATCATTCAAATAGCATTAGTCACTTACTGTCATGACGTAGATCAGGATCAAGCAGAGTGAATCACTTGGCGGAGAGATACAGACCAGCGCAATGGCTCGGAAACAAAACCGTAAGCAGCATAAGTGCTACGGATCAGCGGACCATGCGAAAGGAGTTAAAAGGAGACAGCGCTGTTCCCACGACTGTTGCCGTGACAAGTCAATTATCGGATATCCGCCTGTGGTGAGACAAGCTCCAAAGATCTAA